CCCGCTGATTTGTTAAAGGTCGACTCACCGCTGGTGCGGTAGGAATCGCGTGGGGAAGTACTTCCGCAAATAGCCATCAACCCTGTTCTTGTAATCCTCGAGCGGCTCTGCTCTGTGTTTCAGACAGTCGATACCACAAGACTTGACAGTGTAACCTTCTCTTCGAAACAGAGAATGTTTCCTTTTCATCTGCTGTGGGGTCATCAAGAAGTCTCTGACCACGCCCCCGTTCACGTTCTTCCCCGACACGGTCTGCGCCTCGACGCTGAATGCAGCTTCGACACAATGACACTTGTTCGAGGGAATCTCACACAAGTCATAAGTTTTGGAACAGCCCTTGTCCGGTTCCTGCGCACTAAATGAGTATCCTAGTTCGTACTCAAGATCATACTCACTGATGTCGTATATGTCCATTTGTATCCACTTCGCGGCGGCCCGACCACGGGCCAGGTGATGGAGATAGCCCCGCCATACGTCGCTGTTGTCTGCTAGGAGGCACTTGGACGGCTTCTGGAAACGTACGACCGCCTCCCAGACGCTCGGTAAGTCGTACTGGAACGGATCATTGAAGTAATGACAACTTAGGTCTTCACCCCGGTCGTCAACACAAACCACCTTACCGTCACCGATCCAGTCAAGCGTCTTCCAGGCATCCGCCGTGGCGTCCACCAATGACACGTTATTTTTTTTGGTCCTGTCGTACACGCCCTCGCAAGTTTTCCAAGGTATTCTCAACTCCGCCAAGTCGCGTGCAGACATCATCACGCTGTCAGCACTCGTCTTACTCGGCACGAGTCTGCAGCTCAAGGTCAAGTCAGAAGGCTCGCTCTTACAATCACAAGAGACAATATGTTTGTACCGTTCGGTATCTGACATGCCAGTGAACGGGGTATCACAAGACGACGTGTAGTTGCGCGTCGTGGCCTCATTAGACTGGGTGTAGCTTTTCATCGGGGTCTCGCTTGGAGTATCGCTGTAAATCAGTCCTTTGGGCGAAGTAGAGCTGGAGATTGGCCCCTCAGACGGAGTATAGGTAGAGACTGAAAGAGGATCGAGGATTCCCGACGACTCTGAATCTGGGGTTGTCAAACTACCGGCTCCTTGTCTACTGAAGTGTAACACCGCTCCTGCTATCGCCGCACCACTCACACCCGCAACACAGGCAATACAAAGACCTTTGAGAAACTTCGGCCGTCGCCAGAAGCTTCCAGTTT